CCGGGTGGCGACCGAAGCCTACTCTTATCGATTTTAGACCACCAAGGGATCTTTAACGTGCACAACTTGCACACGGGACATCCGAGATTTTTCGCCCTTGTCCGAGAAGGCTAGGTGTAAATCTTTCCTACCAGAAGATCAGGGGTGTGGCAGAAAGACAGCAGTAAGAAGAAGCCAACGAGTAGCAGTAGAAAGGCTGCAGAAAGAATCAGAAGCCCAGAGGAGGGGACAAAGGAGGTGAAGGGCAGGGGGCAGAAAGAGGAGACGAAAGCAGACGACAGAACATTGCTAGAGAGTAGGAAAGAGGGTGAAATGAGACAAATTTAAAGAAGAAAATTTTTCGGTTGCTACCCGGATTCGAACCCGGGACCTTTGAACACCTTAACCTCTAGGCCACGAGAGCCCCCGGCACTGGTTTGTTGAAAATTGTTCAACATGTGCACCAAAAGAAGGAAAATTAAAAACCTCCCCGGTTAAATAATGAGAAAAGATAAATAAAATGTTAGCTCACAATCATCCTGAAAACACACAAATTAATTATTGGTACGACATTGATAGTGTTGTTACACTAATAACCGTCACATTGCTAATTGAACATTTTTTTTTCAACACTCAGCCCCAAAAAACTTAATTTCTTCTTTTTTTTCAATTTAGGTTGGGTTTTCTTTACGTTCCCACCGACACACACGATTTAGACACGGGGTTCGACCGCGCCTGTAAGGCGGACCCTCCATAGACGGCACGCGGCACATGACTTGTCTCCCTCCCTCCATAGGCCATAGCACGACATCACACAACACAACACATCACAACCATGGATTCGTCTGATGAAGATACTCTGATCATTTTAGCAATTCTAAATAATCGGAAAAAGAAGAGGAAAAAGTGGATCATGTGGTGCAGAGAACATTCTCTATTGAGGAGTAGTAGAGGAGAGTTTCATCGAACTTTCAGCTCCTTGATGAGACGTAGAGATGGGACATTGTTCTTCAACTACCTAAGAATGTCACACAGAACGTATGATGAACTGAAGAACCTAGTGCTTCCTCCTCTACAACCAATTGGTTGTAATTATCGGGAACCAATCGCCTAAGGGTAAACCTTTATGAGAGGGATACAACATCCCAGCAGAAAAAAGAGACACTCAACAACCCCCCCCCCAAAAAAAAAAAACCAAAAAAAAAAACCTTCGGGAATCGAACGCGGATCTCTGTTTCCATGGGGCAACGGTAAAGCGTTATAACCACTACGCCACAGTAAAACAACGGCAAACAAAAACCTCCCAACAAAACGACAACAACAGCCCATCATCATCATCAACAACAACAACAACCCATCATCAACAACAACAACAACAACCAAAAAGTAAACAACCCCTCCCCTCCTAAAAGTTATAAATACATGAATTTTTAAAATCCGATTTTTAATGATGAGAGATGACAAACGTTACCCCAATAGTATAAAGGGCTTTGTGCTCATCGACTCCTCATTTCTCTTCTGGGCCCGCAGACCAACCTGGGCAATAGTTTACCCCCTCCCCCCAAAACAACCCAAACAAACAAAAAACAACAACAACGACCAAACAACAATAACAGCAAACAAACAACAAGAAACAACCATCCCCCCAACAAATTAAAAAACAAAACAAAATAAAAATAAATAAATAAGAAAAAACAAAACAAAGCAGATTAAAGAAATTAAAACAAATAATTAACGGACCCATTTCCAATTGTTTCAGGTTTAGATACTCTACAGTTAGGTGAATGGCTGTGTATGGACATGTATGCCCTAAGTATATATGCATACAGTGACTGAAAGTATCAGCTGAAAAATCCCCATCTCCTCCTCTTCCTCCTCTTCCTCTGATAGATAGATAGATAGATAGATAGATAGATAGATAGATAGATAGATAGATAGAT